GAAATCGAAACTGCAGTCCACTTCGGCCTGGATACGAATACCTTTTAGGAAAACAAGGCTGAGTGAAATTTAATGACAGCGTAACGTCTATTCATATCATTGTGGGAAAATTCAACTACCAGTCCTTTATTACCCCAAAACGCATTTCATATTAAAGATCTCCTGGTAGTCTCGAAAACCTACTTACAAACAAAAAACGTCAAAATATGTCTGAAATGATAATCGCTGGGTTGTTGAAGGGGCCACAATATAAATTGAGGTCCCTTATTAGCGTGGACGTGTGCAAATGCTGGTTCTTGCCATGACACTCTGAGACTAGTTCCCTCGCCCAGGTGCCCCTTTTTATGTGCTGACTGCCACCGTCGCCGACTCAGCAGATCGGAAGCAGACCTGTTGATCTCAGGAACCGGTCTCGGATCAGGCCAGGGGAATGGGAATAGACGATTTATGCCTATTTGACAGATTTTGCAGCCACGAATCACGAAGCTTCATCATATACTCTGGTGACTATGGGCTGGCAAGCTTTGACTTAGCTTTCTATGCGAGGTCGAAACTGTAGTGCACCCGGGATGAGAACAACTTTTGGGAAAGCAAGGCTTTGTGAAATTCAATGGAAGTGTCAGCTCTACTCATACAATTGTGGGAAAATTCTACTACCAATCCTTATTCACCTTCAACGAATTAGGGTGAATACATCTCATATCACTTATTTACTAGTAGTCTCGAAAATCTACTTGCATACGAAAAATAAGTAACGTAGTCGATTGTTATAGCGAATATACGCTTGTTTCATCGATAATCCCACGAGAGAATAGGATATGAGAAAAGACCTGGCCTTCCTTGAAATTCACACCTGTCCTGTGACCCAAGGGCAGTCGTGGCAATGTGGCCGAGTGGTTAACGTATCAAGCTCATATTCTGCACTCTCATCGTTCGACTCCCGCTGGGGTTGTTGATAGAACCTATGCGAGGTCGAAACTGCGAAATTCAATGGAAACGTCGGCTATATTCATACAATTGTGGGAAAATTCTACTACCACCGCCCTTCATCACTTTAAACGAAATAGGATGAATACATCTCATATCTTTCTCTCATCCCATCTTTTGCCCCTCCACCTTCCTCTCTGCCTCCATTCGCTCGGTCATCGGAGCAATTCGCGTCAGCAGAGCGATAGCTCTTGTCCTCTCCTGCAAGCCTGAAGGAGGGAGAGGGAAAGAGAAGTATCGGAGGTGGTGACGCAAATGGCGGGTTGTAGGCTCCACCGTTCTGGCTGTCGTGGGTTCGCATACCAGCATGCGTCCATAGCATGTGGGATTAGCGATTGTGGCATAGCTATCCATTTCGGGGGGAAAGTTGGTTGGAAGGAATTCGTGATTTGGTCTCACCTGAAGCCGAAGGAGGATTGTCGCGTAAGGAAGACTGTTGAAGCGTGCAAAGAAGTCCTGCGACCCAGATGAAACTGTGATAATCTTTCGTCTGTACTGTGACAGACATCATCAGGGCAAGATTGCATACTTTACGAAATAAAGCAAAAATATAATAAACCAGGAGAATAAGGTGACCGGTGGCAACCCTAGTGGTTTTTTTATACACCTTACATCGCGATCTTGATGAGGCCTCTCCTGAGTTGGTTGGCTGCTTCAACCTCACTCCACATGCTTGCAAATGGGTGAAGTTAACTTCCCGAACATGAAATGCGTTCGGTGGCAGCTGTTTCATCACATTAAACCGTGCGGCGTACGGCCGCCTAATGCTGAATCATGTTTGGGCTTGTGCTATTGTCTATCGTGTGTATGCAATGTGAATGCCGGCCTCTTTCTTCTCTTGGTTTAGTATATTTTGGCTCTATTTCGTAAAGCATGGAAACTTCCTCTGATGATGTCTGTCATATTACAGACGAAGGCTTAACACAGTTGTATTCGGGTCGCAGGATGGTGAGCCGAGGACTTCTTCACACAATTCAACAGTCTTCCCTACGCGACAATCTTCCTTCAGTTTCCGGTGAGACCACATCACGCATTCCTTCCAACCAACTTTCCCTTCGAAATGCAGAACCATGCCACAATATTTCATTAAGGAATCCTTCAAAACCCAATTTTTCTCAATATCTGAGATTAGCGATATCCTCCCAATTCACCTCTACTTGTGGGCTTGCATGTTCAGGCCATCCTGACACACTTGATCCCAGATAAGGTCATGTGGTGCACCTCGAGGACCTCGAAGTGACTGTTGTTGAGCCTTATGTTATTGGAACAGACATTTTCAAGCTGTTTGGGAATCCATACTTGCCAGAGCTGATACAGTCTCAGGTGTGCCGGAGCTACCTGCTCGTATCAATTGGCTTAAGACATTAAATATTTTTCGTATATGAATAGAGTTTCAAGACTACCAGTAAATCAGTTATATGAAATGTATTCACCCTATTTCATTTAAAGTGATAAACAACTAGTAGTAGAATTTTCCCACAATTATATGAATAGAGCTAATGTTTCTATTGAATATTACATAGCCTTACTTTCCCAAAAGTTGTTCTCTTCCAGGGTGGACTGAGATTTCGACCTCGCATAGGTCTTATCAACACCCCCAGCAGGAGTCGAACCGTGACAGTGTAGCATGTGAGCCTGACACGTTAACCAGCCGGCCGCGCTGCCACAAGTGTTCTTGGGTCACAGGTCCGATGCGAATTTCAAAGAAGGCCATGCCTTGGGAAAGCTAAGCTCTATGATATTTAATGGACACGTTAGCTATGCTCATATTATTGTGGAAAAATTCTACTGCCAGTCCCTAATCACCTTAAATCAGTGGTTCCCAAACATTTCCTAGTCGCAATGCCCTTTTTCAATTAAAATTTTTCCATGGCGCCCTACCCTTAGTATGACTATTCGTAAGCAGGAGATAAAAATAAATAAAACCCGTGTATCTTCATTATTTTTTTAATACTTTATCAACATTAAATTAATATTTAATAATCAATGTGATCGATGTGCCCGTAAATTACTGCACATTTTCTCAAATTGAAGCTTTTACAATATTTCGCGGCACCCCTGCAACGAGGCCACGCCTCCCCAGGGCGCCGCGACGCATAGTTTGGGAATCACTGCCTTAAATGAAATAGGATGATTACATCTCATATAAGACTTTAAAGGCTTTCCACATTTCCAGACGTTTCGTATTCTCCTTGTCTGTCTGTCTGTCTGTCTTCCTTCTGTATTTATTGCTCTTTCTAATCTGGTAGTTCCACATTACCCATATCCTCTTATTCTACTCGTTCTCAATCACAACTTACAACTACATATTTGTACCATTACTTGTATGACGAATTTTTGCTTGGTGGTCAGAAGGGCCATTGACGATAAAACTAAGTGACTAGGATGCTGGCGAAACTTCTGGGACTGTATAAATCAACGGCCAGACGCCGGAAATTAACATAGCTACATTAGGAGAGGAAGCAGAACTGAATGTGCTCCATAAGCTTCTCTCTTAACCGACCAAGTTATCGCCAAACCCATGGTCAAATCATCTTATAGTATTGGCGGGACTTTCATTTCGTATGAAAATGTATGATGGAAAGATTAGAAGGTTGATCTCACCACAAGACTACGGCTGCTTGCCGTTGTACTACAGTCGTTTGGCTTTAATACAAAGTTCAGGTTTACGCAGTCCACGATAACTCCTCCCTGGTTTCGGGTGAAAACGGACAGAGCTTTCGTCCATCATATGATGCACATCATCAGAGCTGGAACTCATTCTTGTAAAAGTCTCACATTAACACTAGGTTCTTGACCTAGCGCAAATATAACCATTCTTCATCGACAATCCCACCACAGAATGCGATATGAGGAAAGGCCTGGTCTTCTTTGAAATCCACATATGCTCTGTCACCCAAGGGCACTCGTGGTAATGTAGTATAAGTGGTTAGGTTGTCAAGATTATATGCTGCACTGTTGTGGTTCGAATTCCGCCTAGGGTGATAATGGGGCGTAGGTAAGGTTGAAACTGCATGCAAGGAAAAGTTGGGTTTCGAGAAATCTCTTGTTTCATAATTGTTGAGCCTACTACCATTTCGAGTA